CTGTCTCCGATGCCCAGAATCCAGTGGCTGATGCACATCAGAGCATGAGAGCTGGCAAAGTGGGAGCGGAGCGCCAGGAAGGCCTCCGGGCCGGCGCTCATCTTCAGAAAGGCGCGCCTGGGAGAGGGGACACAGCTGGGGTCTCTGCTGTGCTAACAGGCCTGGGAGAGGGGACACGGCTGGGGTCCTCACTGTGCTAACAGGCCTGGGAGAGGGGACACCGCTGGGGTCCCTGCTGTGCTAACAGGCCTGGGAGAGGGGACACGGCTGGGGTCCTCGCTGTGCTACCAGAGCCTGGGAGAGGGGACACTGCTGGGGTCCCCGCTGTACTAACAGGCCTGGGAGAGGGGACACCGCTGGGGTCCTCACTGTGCTAACAGGCCTGGGAGAGGGGACACCGCTGGGGTCCTCACTGTGCTAACAGGCCTGGGAGAGGGGACACCGCTGGGGCCCCCACTGTGCTAACAGGCCTGGGAGAGGGGACACCGCTGGGGTCCCCGCTGTGCTAATAGGCCTGGGAGAGGGGACACTGCTGGGGTCCCCGCTGTGCTAATAGGCCTGGGAGAGGGGACACTGCTGGGGTCCCAGCTGTGCTAACAGGCCTGGGAGAGGGGACACCGCTGGGGTCTCTGCTGTACTAACAGGCCTGGGAGAGGGGACACCGCTGGGGTCCTCGCTGTGCTAACAGGCCTGGGAGAGGGGACACGGCTGGGGTCCTCGCTGTGCTACCAGAGCATGGGAGAGGGGACACTGCTGGGGTCCCCGCTGTACTAACAGGCCTGGGAGAGGGGACACCGCTGGGGTCCTCACTGTGCTAACAGGCCTGGGAGAGGGGACACCGCTGGGGTCCCCGTTGTGCTAACAGGCCTGGGAGAGGGGACACCGCTGGGGCCCCCACTGTGCTAACAGGCCTGGGAGAGGGGACACCGCTGGGGTCCCCGCTGTGCTAACAGGCCTGGGAGAGGGGACACCGCTGGGGCCCCCACTGTGCTAACAGGCCTGGGAGAGGGGACACCGCTGGGGTCCCCGCTGTGCTAACAGGCCTGGGAGAGGGGACACTGCTGGGGTCCCCGCTGTGCTAATAGGCCTGGGAGAGGGGACACTGCTGGGGTCCCCGCTGTGCTAACAGGCCTGGGAGAGGGGACACTGCTGGGGTTCCCGCTGTGCTACCAGCACCTGGGAGAGGGGACACGGCTGGGGTCCCCGCTGTGCTAACAGGCCTGGGAGAGGGGACACGGCTGGGGCCCCCGCTGTGCTAACAGGTCTGGGAGAGGGGACACGGCTGGGGTCCCCGCTGTGCTAACAGGTCTGGGAGAGGGGACACCGCTGGGATCCCCGCTGTGCTAACAGGCCTGGGAGAGGGGACACCGCTGGGGTCCCCATTGTGCTACCAGGCCTGGGAGAGGGGACACCGCTGGGGTCCTCGCTGTGCTAACAGGCCTGGGAGAGGGGACACCGCTGGGATCCCCGCTGTGCTAATAGGCCTGGGAGAGGGGACACCGCTGGGGTCCCCGCTGTGCTAATAGGCCTGGGAGAGGGGACACCGCTGGGGTCCCCATTGTGCTAACAGGCCTGGGAGAGGGGACACTGCTGGGGTCCCCATTGTGCTAACAGGCCTAGGAGAGGGGACACTGCTGGGGTCCCCGCTGTGCTAACAGGCCTGGGAGAGGGGACACCCCTGGGGTCCCCACTGTGCTACCAGCGGGGGGGACAGTCAGAAGGATACTTACTTCAAGAGAGCAGCTGGTACTTTACTTTCTCTTTTCCTGAAAGATGTGACTGCTTCGGTACGACTAGCTCTCCTAAGATTTAACAATAGAAGATGTCTGATTAGAACAAACTTCTTGTGACGGACATTTAAAATTCTTTGTTTACATTGAAGCTCAGATATCAAGTAACTAGATTTTGATGATTTCTCTGAGGTAAAACTTTCTAAGGAACAAAATATATATGCAACTTTGAGAAGCACGAACTAGTTACAAAAAGGAAAATCAAAACACACTCACTTATACATCAGCATATAAGCGCCAGGGCCCTGCTTTCCCGACGTCTTTGCCAGCCAGTCTCTATATTCAAATGGTGGGGCTCGGGGATCACTAGCAAAGAGGAAAAAGGAGTCAGCACTGGGGAGATATTCAGCATTATATGCTTTTAGAGGCAAAGACCACAATGAATTCATTGAAAAACAGGGAAGAGGCAGGGAAAATAAATATGATTTTTAATCATCTACACTAATAAAAGAGAAAGATGCAAATTGACTGTACCTTCCCAATGCTCATCAGCCAATCAGGAGCGAGTATGCAAATTAACCCAACAGACATGGTGAGTTAATGTGCATACGCAGGTGCCGAGCGGCCAGGGGTGGGGCAGGATGCTTGCGTGGCAACGACGCAGGCGTTCCACACCGCCCCAGCCGCTCCGGCCTCTGGGCAGTGTGGGAAGGCGGAAAGGTGGCTCCGGGCCGGAGCAACGATGGTGCCGGCAGCCAGGGGAAGGAAGGCCCATTCCTGCATGAATCTTTGTGCATCGGGCCTCTAGTATTTAATATTAACACAACCCATGTTACTCTGGATCTAGAATTTCAATATATCATTATTTATCCTTAATTTCTGAAGAATCGAAGGTATTTCCTGTGTAAAAGTTTAAGTACAAAACAAAGAAATGCAATCATTTTTCCACTTCATACAGAGAGAACAAGATGACCTCAACATGAGTGTCTATGAGCTTGGCGTGCGGCTCTAGAAGGCCCGTCCTGGGAAAGCACCGTAACTACAGGGCGATGGGACTACACGCAACGGATTTAAAACAGGCAGCCAGGCGACACTGCCCACAATGCCACACACCGTTTGAAGACGGGTGATGTCTGTTCTTGTCGTTATTTAAGACCCTGCCTCACTCTTTCCCCTTTTCCAGTTTGCAGATACATATGAAATCCACACTAAGAACAAAGTATTTTCTTAGGAGACAATGGATGTGGATTGAATTGAATTTGAAAAGCTGTTTTCAATGCTTCTTAGGCAAAAGGCAGCATCGGGGCAGCTGGAAACAATGGGATGTTTGTATGGTTAGCCACTTTGGGGGTTGTGTCAAAAGTTTTAACAAGTTTTCCTAAAAAAACACCTAAAGATAGAATGATTTTGCAAAATATTGCTTAATAGTTCATCACTTGAGTTGAATCTTTTCTGAATTGCTACTAAGTTAGCTTCATAAATGGACACTCCATTTTCAACTAAATTCTCTCCTAGTTTCAACTGGGGTGAAAATCTTTAGTTTGGAAAAACTGTTAATATGTAAAGAAAAGATAGCAATGATGTTTAGTAAAGGGGGTTGGAAGTGCCTTGTTTTAAAAAGGTAGAGGAAAGTAGTCTAACAATTTCATATTGAAAAGCACTTTGAACTCTGCTGATACCTATGGTTGCCTTATGCACTTGACATCACTGCCCCCTCTTACAAAGGAGGCGTGGGAAGAGGGAAAGGTGAGTCCGAAACACTGCCCGTCAGTACCAGAGCAGCTGCGGAATTTCGGACTCTGGGAAGTACTGTTCGTCAGCTTTCCTGTCTTCAAGGCAGAGACGATTCCCGACGAAGGACTCAAATGATGGGAATTAAAAGCTGGTAGTCACTGTCCTATGTAGCAACTGTTACCCACAGGTAAGAGTTTGATCAAAATGATTAATTTTACAGAAACTGTTCCATACTTTCAGGAAGGAATGAGAGTACAATGAAGAAAAATAGGCCTGTTTCTTCTTCCTTCATTCTCTAGCTTGTCCTCAAAGCTAGTTAACTCCTACTTCAAAATGTGTTTCAATATTGTCCTTATTTTTCTTTACAGAAACAAAAAACAAAGAAAAAACCCTTCTGATAAGCTATCCCGCTTACATGCTGGGTGACCAAGGACAAGTTCTTAACCTTTCTGGCCCTCAGCTGCTTCATCTGCACAGAGCTAGTGACACTCACCTTACAGGCTTTTGTGAAAAAATAAATGACTTCATATACATTCAGAGCTGAGAGTAGTGCCTAGCACACAGAAGACGTTTAACGAAATGTCAGCTGCTCTTCTTATGTATTTGTTTTATTTCTTTCAAGATTTTCCCTTTTTTCCCAAAGCTAATACTTTTTTTTTTCTTTATTGTGGTAAAATATATGCAACTACTGCTTAGACTCCTCTTCACCTACCCAGAAGCACATTAAAGACGAGGCCAGGGTCGGCTGACAGCACCAATAGAAAGGGGCCCTGAAATGTGACTAGAAACATGGGGTGGAGGAAACGGAATTTGAAACAACTCTACTCAGGGAGAATGTCACGTCCGGGCGCAGCAGCGGGCTGGGGTGGACCAGGGCAGGGCTGGAGAAAGTACTGAGACCCCACGTTACCTTGTATAAGCTGCTTTCTCCTCTTGTGACATGTTACTCAAAAGAAGTTCCTTTAAGGTAAACGTATTTTCAATCCATTCAATTAATCCTAATCTGAAAAGGAGAATAAAAGGTTTATGAATACAAACCCAAACTGCTCTTTCTTTACTAAAAAAAAAGTTCTGTAGAATTAAAGCAAAACAGATTTTTTTTTCATGTCAATTATTCACTTACTTTCCCCGCATCAAGATAAAAATTATAGGTTTAGAGGTGTTTATTAGTTCTGGCTAGGTTTCTGTCTTTATGAAATCTAAAACACTAAATTGTCAAGTGACCTCTAACCCCAGGTGGTCTTACCTGGAGGTCATGGGGACGACGTGGTACGTCTGTAACTGCATGTTTCTCTGACTGCAGGCGGCATCTCGGGAGAGGATGACATTCATGACCTCAAAGAGCTGCTCGACGCGCTGGTCCTGCCGCAGATCTTCGCCCCCTTTCACCAGGAAAGGGTAGTCTCGCTCATCATGGCCTCGGATGATGATGCGCTTTGGTTTTCTGATAGAAGCCATTGTTTTCACCTTTAAAAATTAAGAAAATACTTTTAGGTGCAGTCTAAACACTGAGGGACCAGCACATCATATCACCATCAAAAGGGGAAAAGTGCCCAGCTGGTGTGGCTCATGGCTGAATATGAACCAGAGGTCAGGGTTCAATTCCTGGTCAGGGCACATGCCTGGGGTTGCGGGCTCGATCCTCAGTAGGGGGTGTGCCAGAGGCAGCCAATCAATGATTCTCTCTCATCACTGATGTTTCTACCTCTCTTTTCCTCTCCCTTCCTCTCTGAAATCAATAAAAATATATTTTTAAAAAGGTGGGGTGGGGAAAGTAAGGCGGGTTGGCACACATTGCTCAAAGAGAGATCTCTCTTTGAAGACAGGTGATATAGAGAAAAAAAGAGATAATCAAGGGTCAGTGAGATATTTCTGTTACCTGTTCACACCATACTATTGTACCCACATAATAATTCCATATTCCTGGTTAAAATAATTGCTAATAAATGTGGATGTCCTTAGCAACAAGCAATACACAACTTTCTACAATTACTTAAATTACATATATTTTATAATGGATACACATATATAGTTTACCCTTCAAGTTTATTATGTCCTTAAATATGATTGATATTAAAACATTGGAAACATTAAGAAATTCAGTAAAGAATAGGATCATAAAACTACATACATTTTAGACCAACACAGGAAGTTAATTGTCTTTTCTTGGGTACACATAAATATTCTCAAATGTGAAGAACTAAATGCCACATACTAACAATCCTAACTCTGGTGACTGGGGTCACAAACACTGGCACCTACCCGCTCATCAAACCCCGCGATCCGTGCGTGGTATTCTGGCATTGGCTTTCCTTTGCCATCATACTGACCTAAGACAACACAGAAAAGCCTTATTTAGATAGAGCTTGTTACAGATCCCCGTATTTTAAAACAGCTGCTGCCCTGGCTAGTGTGGCTCAGTAGTTGAGCATCGTCCCATGCACCAAAAGGCTGCCAGTTTGATTCCTGGTCAGGGTACAAGCCCAGGTTGTGGGCTTGATTCCTGGTCGGGGGTGTGCAGGAGACAGTCGATCCCTGTCTTGCTCTCACATCGGTGTTTCTCTCTCTTACTTTCTCTTCCTCTCTCTCTAAAAATCAATTTTAAAAAAACCTTGAAAAATAGTTGCGATCTAATTAAAGAGTTAACAAAATTTTTACTAAAAGTTTTTATTTAAAGAAAATGGATTTTAAAAAATCTGTTACAGGGGTAAACAAAAGTAGGTTTATAGTTGTGCAGTATGCAGTTTATTTTGTGTTATTATTTATTAATTATTGTATTATTTACTTGTATTACAACTAGAAACCTACTTTTGCCCAACCCTGCGTTTCTGAATTTGACTAAGGGAAGAACTTCAAACAGGAAAAATAATGCATGGGATAGAACACTGTTGTATTTAAGGAGAATCAAGCTGCACATTAGGAGGCTTATGTTTCAAATAATTTTCTTGAAACTGCCTGTATGTAATACATAGCTGCTAATAATAACAAAGAAAAGTATTTCTCCAAATGTTTTTTGTATCCAATGGATATAACCATATTAAAACATTTTTTTTTTTTGGTCTGTTGAATTCCAGGGTAAAGAACATGAAATGTACAAAAATTGTCTGAACAATGCTGTGTTCACATCTGACCGACTTGTCTTTATCCTCAATGTCACAATCCTTTTTCTCAAAGGTAAGTTGTTTCTCATTATCTTTTCACTTTGAATGGGTCCAGCATGTACACCCCAAGAAGTGATTTGCATTTATACCTATATTATATTTCTGAGGAAAAGGTATTCAGAAGTAAAGCATGGGGATGTTTAGAAGAAATTACATTATCATTATTATTAGATAGAAATCTGAACACTTGTCATAATCAGGAATATAAGAAAACTATAATCTAATTAGACATTGGATAAAGTACACCGATTCATAGTAACGATAAAAAATATGACAAGAATTTGATCCATCTGCTTTTGTGGCCGCTGCCCCTGTGGCCGCTGCCCCCACTGCTGCTCCTGCTGCTGCTGCAGCCCCAGCCAAGGCTGGAGCAAAGGAAGAGTCGGAGGAGTCAGAGGAGGATATGGGGTTTGGTCTCTTTGATTAATTACCAAAAAGCGACCAGCTCAGCCAACTCTATTTGAGAAACAAGGAAATAAAGCTTACTTCTCTTAAAAAAATAAAATTAAATTAAAAAAATAAAATAAAATAAATAAATAAAATAAAAATAACTGTCAAAATCCTGACATTACTTTAGAAATCAAAAGTTCCTGCTACAGCACTATTCTTCTTAAAGTAGCTTTGTCACTTCTGAAGGTTCGCTCACCAGGAATCTCCAGCTCATTTCTTAGGAATTCCACTCTGAAGTCACTCATCCAGGGTGAGCATTCTTTCAGGTTCCCAGGTGGCTTTGAGTCTTCGCGCATTTTTGAAAGCAGTGTGTTGGTAATGTCATTGAAGTCATGAAGCTTCATTCCAGGTAGCTTAGAACCTTGTTTCCCAAAGTGTTTATCAAATTCTTTTCCAAAAGCCTGAAATTAATAATAAATTATCTTAAATATTAATGTTTAAGGTAAATTTGAACATTGGAGATAGGACAGTTAGTGCAACTGCACAACTATTCAGGACCACATCTGCACAGAAGAGGCAGCAGGGAGAAAAAACCTGGATACATAGAGAAAGCACAGACCATTCTATAGGTGACAATTTTCATCTCCCAAATGCTAGGAACTTACAGAACGTTATCATTGCTTTTACCGAGGGCCCATGTGGGGCCTGATTTAGCCTTCATTCACTGGCTGGAACTGGGATTAGGGATCTGGTAGAAAAATACCGTTCTGATTTTTAAAAAAGATAAGATTATAAACCTCTGAATTTCATTGAATGACCTATATTACTAGGCTCCACACCATAACAAATCCTCCTCTGTCTCACAGTACTGCACTAACTGTCCATGTCACTCTATGGTTTTATAACCTAGCACGGCATGCTTTCAATTTATAATGCTCCAAGAACAGCTGAAAAGACCTGAATTTAATTCTTCAAACCCTGAGTGCCTGCTATTCGCTGGGCAGCAATTCTGCTGGTTCGGAGATACATGAATGCTGCTATAGTGGTAAGTTTCCCTCCCAAGTGGCAGGAGGGTGTTTGCTGGGGATTAAGAGAACCAGTTTTTCCTCTACTTCTACCATCTGGGGTAGGAATGGAACTCGGGCCCTGAGAACAGATGCTGTGTCTCTTCTGACAGGTGCTGTCATAGAAGAACCAAAAGCATTTTCTAAACAGCTGAGGAATTTGTCCACAATCCACATAGCGATGTGTCTCCAAGGAGCTCTAGGTCATGTGGCCAACGTATGAGATCTTAACTGAAGTTCTCATGAAGAACTTGGACACCTGGACACTGGGCAATGTGCAGAAGTACACACAGGAAAGTGGCCGTCCCACCTCTGCCTGCGCCGCCACACTCACCAGCTCGCTCCAAGGTGGAATGAGGGAGATGTTAGCTGTCACATGACTGATCACTGTGTTCACACACTGAACTTGGCTGGACATGCTGGCCACTGCCACACAGAAGTGGGAGGCCCTGATTTTCAGGGTGGCCTTGATAGTGAGGATTACAAGGGAGTCCTGCTTATTAAATGTGACTTTTCTCACTGATGCCGTCGTCGTCCACAAGGACTGGATTTGGAAATAGAAAGAAAATCACTAACCCAAGTGCCAGGAGACAGAGCAGGACAGACAGGAGGCCATACTGCTTGGTTCTCCGAGCACACAATCTCTGGTCACTGTGGGATCAAAGCCACCAGCTCATTTACTTGCTCTGTCCCTGGGCAGGAGAGGCAGGGGATGCTGTCCCGCCCAGTGATTCCACGTATGGGAACTGGGCAATGGCATCTTCCTGCTCCCGTTCACCCAGCATATCCTCTGTCAGCTTTCACTTGCTCGTAGGAAGGAGGGTGAGCAGAGTCGGAATGCTGGGACCCATGGCCGGGATGTGCCACCTGGCACGTTCTGCCCCTGGGGTCCTCGGAGCAGTCCGCTCAGTGCGCATGCATGATTTTATCTTGGCTTTTAGGAAATAAACCCCTTGTCACATGCAGCAATGACAGTCCTGTATATTCTTACATTTATTCAGACCTTTAAGTAAAACTACCTTAAGTAGGAATGACCCGCCAAAATCCATCTCTACTTACCGAAACTATACCATTCATGCATCTAATTAAAGATGCCTATTTCACACCCAACGGTAGTATAGGTAGTGAAAAGAAAAGATGAATAAGATGAAAATCTCTGTCCACAAGTCTAATTTGGGAGGCATAAATTAAAGAATTAAAGATAAATATGGCCCTAGCCGGTTTGGCTCAGCCTGTGCACTGAAGGGTCCCAGGTTCAATTCTGGTCAAGGACACATACCTGGGTTATGGGCTCAATCCCTACTAGAGGGGCGTGCTAGAGGCAGCCAATCAATGGTTCTCTCTTGTAATTGATGTTTCTGTCTCTCTCTCTCCCTCTACTTTCCTTTCTGAAATCAATAAAAAAATGTATTTTTTTTTAAAAAAGATAAATATAGTTTCCTATTCCTGAGGATTTTGCCAAAAGAACCTGTACACTGATGTTCACAGCAGCACTATTCATAAGAACTAAGAAGTGGAAAGAAAACCAAATGTCCATCAGTTGATGAAAGGATAAACAAAACGAGACAAAAAGTGGAATAATATTCAGCAATAAAACAGAGTGAAGTATTGCCCAGCTCGTTTGGCTCAATGGATAGAGCATCAGCCTGTGGACTGAAGGGGCCCGGGTTTGATTCTGGTCAAGGGCACATGCCCGGGTTACGGGCTTGATCCCCAGTAGGGGTGTGCAGGAGGCAGCCAATCATTGATTCTCTCTCATCATTGATGTTTCTATCTCTCTCTCCCTTTCCCTTCCTCTCTGAAATCATAAAAATATATTAAAAATAAAATAAAAAAGGAGTGAAGTGCTGGCACATGCTGCAACATGGACGATGCTAAGAGATGTGCGTGTAGGTGCTTCAGGCAGCAGGGAGGAAGGAACACCTAACTCTGGGGACAGCCAGGAGAAGGAGGTTCAGGGACGGGCTCTGAAGGAGAAATGCTGCAAAGACACATCTGCCAGGGTGAGCTATCCAGCTGGACGGGGCCAGCAGAGAAACTCATGTAGAGGGAGCAGCAAGCACAAGGCATGTGGTGTGGAATCTGGACACAGCAAGGCTCTCTGATCTCCACTTGTTCTAAGAGGATTTTGCTGATTCACTCCAAACTGAGGTGAGAAGATTCTCTTTCTTTCAACTCGAAAACAACTTTGAAAATAGGTCTCATGTATCACATTTGTCCTCAGGCTACAGTTCTTTACATACAGTATCTACCAACAATTCCTTTGAATTCAGAAACTGGGTCAATCTTCTCTTTCTATCTCCTATAGCACCCAGTAGAGTGCCTTGAACAGAGATAAGTGCTCACCAATAGTTAACCTATATAAAATACAAATATTTATTGATCCAATATTCAAACCATTCTGAGAATTAAAAAGATTAAATACATGTAACCTTCATATCTAAGAATCTGAGCATGAAGAACACAATGTAATAAAACCCCCAAGATTTTACCTATTGACCCCCTTTGTTCTTTATGACCTAGAAATACGCCATTAATATTTCAGAGAAAGCATCAGATCTAAGACAGTTTACAAATTCAACAGACATTTTAAAACCAGAATTGCTAACAAACCAGCAACCATAAGTATTGATCTTCACAATGATTCTATCATACAGGCAGGCTGCCATTACCCATACCTGAATAAACTTCCTTCTAAAAGCGCCAACGCCTGGAGCCTTTGAGTCTCCCAAGGCTGCATACATTCTTTCATACATCTTTTCAATGGTTTTTTTATTTACGGGGTTTTTTGTTAATTCAACTTTGATATCCTCAGTCCAGTCCTGTGCAGGGGGGAAAAAAAAGAAAGAAAAATCAAACTAGATTGTAAGTAGATTTTATCTAAGTTCTATGTTTTATGTGTTAGAAGATGTAATATTACCTTAAAGATCATTTCTGGATTAGAGAGTTGTTCTAGGGCATTAATAAAATCTTGAACCACTCCTCCTTGATCCAACTTAATTTTAATCCTATAAAAAATTACCAAGTTTAGGTAATCAAACATCTTCCATAGATCAAGGCCTGTAATTTATACTTATTTTTACTTATATATAAAACTTTATATAACCAAAGAAGAAGCAATTTACATATTCTATCTAATATTAGGTAAAGAACAAAGTCCCCTCTTATCCACAATTTCTGTGGTATCAGTTACTGGGGGTTAACAGTGGTCCAAAAATATTAAGTGGGAAAATGCAGAAACAAACAAATCATACATTTTACATTGCATGGCATTCTGGTGGTGATGAAATCTGGTGCTGTCCCACCTGGAACATGAATCATCTCTTTGTCCAGGATATTCACCCCATTTCATCTCATCACTGAGGCACTGTATCATCTCACATTATCACCAGAAAGGTGAATACAGTACAATAACATATTTGTGAGAGACCACATTCACATAACATTTGTTACAGTGTGTTATTATAATTGTTGTTTCATTATTATTGTTGTCAATCACTTACTGCACCTAATTTATAAATTAAACTTTATTATAGGTATGTGTCTATAGGACAAAACAAAGCATACACAGGGTTTGGCATAATTGCAATTTCAGGCATCCACTGAGGGTCTTGGAACATATCCCTCGTGAATAAAGGAGGACCCCTGCATTCTATAAAGAGGTGAGATTCTTAGATAAAGTAAAATTAAATTTTCTCTCAAATAATGTCAACATTTTGATGTATACAATTTGATACATACAATTCTGAGGTTATGTTATGAAAGAAAAGGCCACTTTCTCGACAAATTTTTAAAACTTTTTCCTTTCTTTCTTTTAGAATAGTTAATCATGTTGCAGCTGACTGTGCTGAGAGGCCATGGGGTGGGGCACCAGCAGGGCAGGTGGCGTGTGCCGAGCCAACCCATTGACAAACCGTGATAAAAGCTATGCCTAACTCTATTGTCTTCTCAGAAACAAACACTAAATAATATAGCAGATCAGCTCCTAACAACAAAAAAGACATCCCCTTTTTGATAGGGAATGTCTACTAAGATACCATGCTTTATAACATATTCTTGCAAAAGCATTACACCATTTCTAGTTGTATCTCCACTTACAATCAACTGAAGAAGCGAAAGGAATGACACTTCAGACACCTACTGAGTCCTAATTAAGAAGCGGGGCTTCCTGGATATTTTCAATTAAAGAAGAATTTCAAGAACTAATTTCAAAAAGCATTTCATCTAGCCTGTTTCAACCAACAGATTGCTATTAGCATAAGGGTAGAATGTTCCATGAATCGTACTCTAAAAGGAAATGTATTTTTAAAAAGATATTCTAACGAACAGCATACCCAGGGTAGATACATTTAACAGAGATACCTAAGATGTTCTAGTCTTCAGTGAAAGCTCTAATGAATTTGAAGACAAATGTAAGCTTCCATGTGTTTGCTTTTACCATACACATTGTTTATAAACTGTAATATTTAACTACAGCAGAAATCAGCCCAAGTTCTCTGCAATGTCACCTTGCCACAAACTCCTTATTCTTACGACCAGCAGAAGTATCTCTGAAGGAATAGCTTTCACTGCTTATTATGAACGGGTAGACGATGGCCTGGGGGTAGTTGTCAGCGATCGCTTCCACCGTGTGCTGGACGGCCACGGCCTCCTCCTTGTCCAGTAAGGCCAGCATGTGGCTGATCCAGCCAATGAACTGCCAGCAAGGAATGGAAGAAATCTAAAACACAGAGAGCTGCAACTTAATGATGAATAAAAACTAAACATTTCGTTATAAAAGCAATGTGTCCAATATAAAAAGTACATATATTTATAATCAGAAGTATCAAAACAGACCAATATAAAATACAGTCTTCTCTCCCTCAGCTCTCTCAATTCCTGTTCCACTGTGAACCATGCAATTCTTCCAGACATGTTCTAGGTATGTACACACATATCCTCTCCTCACAAGACTGGAATCATACTGT